TTCTCTGTTTGACTCTCACGTATGCTGTTACGCTTGTCATCTTAAATTAAGAATGTTTATACATAAACGATTTTCAGTTGCCCCTCATATTACTAGACAGCGGATTTCTGTCGGGCTACGTCACGATTATAGGGGTGGACGTGCTGGATCGCCGGGTGATAGATAATCACTGAATTTAATCGGTACTAATTCCATAAATATAATTAACGATTTATTAATCAAACGGCTAAGTAAATGAGAACGGGAATTAACAGCAGAGTGCAACGAAACAGCGTTATTCTAATCTCAAATAAACGAAGTGCAGTCCGCAACCGTAATGAATTCGCATCCCGTACGAGCCGTACCGAGTTTGGCCTTGCCTAGCCCGACAGAAATCCGCTTTCTAGATATTACACACCGGCGCCGTATACGTGAGTAAATTGTTTCGTTATTTTATTGATTATAAGAAATCAATATTCAAAACGACCCAATTCATTTTCCCGAAAATTTGGGAATACAATAATTTTATTCTTAGTATTACACTACATCTATCCCAACTGATATACGTGTCCTTGCAAAAATGTTGATGACGTCATCACAATTTTTTTTTAAATTCCCACTACAAAAATGTAATGAGAAAAAAAAACACAATAGGCATGCAGTCGTCAAGTTTCCGACAGCGAGGGAAGTACTGTCTAAACTCTTTAGACCAATTTTTTTAATATGAAACATTCTCAGGGTCCCAACTGTCTTTTTTTAAAATGTAAAACCTTCTCGGGGGCCCCAAATGCCTTTTATTTCAATGTGAAACCTTCTCGGAGGTCCCAACTGTTTTTTAAAAATGTAAAATCTTCTCCGAGGCGTCAAATGTCTTTTTTTTTATGAAACCTTTTCGGTTTCCAAACTGTCATTTTTAAAACTGTAAAACCTTCTCTGGGGTCCCAACTGTCTTTTTTAAAAATGTAAAACGTTCTCCAGAGCGTCAAATGTCTTTTTTTTAATATGAAACCTTCTTGGGGTTCCCCTTTGTCATTTTTAAAAATGTAAAATCTTCTCCGGTGCCTCAAATGTCTTTTTTTAATGCGAAACCTTTTTGGGGTTCCAACTGTCTGTTTTAAAAATGTAAAACCTTCTCCGTGGCGTCAAATGTCTTTTTTTCAATATGAAACCATCTCCGGGGTCGTAAATGTCATTTTTAAAAATGTAAAACCTTCTCAGGTGTCCCAATTGTCTTTTCTCAAAATGTAAAACCTTCTCTGGAGCGCCAAAAAAGGTTTTTTTAGAATGTGAAACCTTCTCGGAGGTCTGAACTGTCCTTTATAAAAATATAAAACCTTAGGTTATGTATGTTATGTTACATAATTTTGTCCACGCCCTTTAAAAAAAATTGTGGCAGGTTATTTCGACAGAATTTCCCTCGCCCCTGAGGTACAGCTCAACAAATTCAGCTTGTTTGAAAAATTATATGTTTTAATTTTTGTTTTCTGATAAACCCTTGGAAGTTAAAACTAATGGCGTTAAGTTAGCTTAAACTCAGGAAGTAATAAAAACGAACCATCGACCCTTGTTGTTGTAAACTACATGTGTAGGACTATGTTATTTTATACAATTGAAAACCCATTTACTATGTACAATTTTGAAGTGACGTCATCGCATTAGTGGTGAGGATGATTAGACAAATTTTGGTTAGCGTTTTACCATCTACATGATATTCTTAATATAAGTACAAAATTTCACAACAATCGGTCGAGTACTTTCGGAGATTATCTGTCTAATAAAAATCCGGGACGGCAGACGGACAGACGGACGGACAGACGGACAGACGGACAGACGGACAGATGGACAGACGGACAGACGGACGGACAGACGGACGGGCACACGGACGGACAGACGGATGGACAGACGGACGGACAGACGGACGGACAGACGGACGGACAGACGGACGGACAGACGGACGGACAGACGGACGGACAGACGGACAGACAGACGGAAATAGGAGATCTATTTCTACGTTTTCTAGGGGTCATGAAAGATCGAGAAAACGTAAAAGTAGAGAATCGGCCGACGGACTCGATTACAATACTTCCTTTGCTTACGCTCGGGAAGTAAAAATTGGTCTAAAGAGTTTAGACAGTACTTCCCTCGCTGTCGGAAACTTGACGACTGCATGGCTATTGTGTTTTTTTCTCATTACATTTTTGTAGTGGGAATTTAAAAATAATTGCGATGACGTCATCAACATTTTTGCAAGGACACGTATATCAGTTGGGATAGATGTAGTGTAATACTAAGAATAAAATTATTGTATTCCCAAATTTTCGGGAAAATGAATTGTGTCGTTTTGAATATTGATTTTTTATATTCAATAAAATAACGAAACAATTTACTCACGTATACGGCAACTGAAAATCGTTTATGTATAAACATTCTTAATTTAAGATGACAAGCGTAACAGCATACGTGAGAGTCAAACAGAGAAACTGTAAACAAAACGACCATCGGTTTTATTGCTTCGACTTCCGCTTATTATATAAAACATTGGGTTTTATTTTAATTCTTGACGGTGAAATTCACAATTGGTTGATTATAAACATGTCTATTCCACATTCGCGGAACCTATAGTCAGCGCATAAAACAAATGCACGTCTGTAATGTTAAAGTCAATGTAAATAAGCGTGCTACCCTTATGTTTCAACCGAGTTTTTACTTTAAAAAATTTTGTGTCTACCAAATTGGGTTGGTCCAATGTAATACTAATAATAAGTGTTGCCTTTAATATAATCAATAAAATAAATTGACTTCATTAATTTTTTTGAGCCACCTCTTAAGAAAATCTAAAAAATATGAATGGAATGATAAATCACAAGTACAGACTCATCATATTTTTCACATTTTAGATAGGATTTATTTACCAAATTTTAGCGTGACGTCATCAATTTTTTTAGGGGGGGATGAGCAAATAAATTTTGATAAAAAATTTAGCATGCTTATGATAACTTTAAAGTATCTCCAAGATTTCACAGCATTCGGTTCTATAATTCCTGATTAAATCAATAAGATAAATTGACGCATTCATTAACTTTTTTGAGTCACCCTGTATATGCAAATCGAAAAAATTTGAATGGAATGATAAATGACAAGAAGAGACTCACCATATTTTGTACATTTTAGATAGGATTTATTCAGCAAAATTTTGTGGTGACGTCATAAATTTTTTAGGAGGGGACGACCAAATACATTTTGATCGAAAATTTACCATGCTCATGATAATTTTAAAACATCTTCAAGATTTCAAAGCATTCGGTTTTGTAGTTCCTGAGTAAATCAGTAAAATAAATTTTGCGCATTCATTAATTTTTTTGAGTCACCCTGTATATGCAAATCCAAAAAATATGAATGGAGTGATATATCACAAGTACAGACGCATCATATTTTGTACATTTTAGATAGGATTTATTCGGCAAACTTTTGAGCTGACGTCATCAAGTTTTTGGAGGGGATAACCAAATATATTTTGACTAAAGATTTATGATGCTCTTTAGAGCCTTAAAACATCTGCAACATTTTAAAAGATTCGGGTTAGCAGATTCAAAATTAAACTGCAAAATGTTATTTTATGATTTTGATTTTTTTTCCAAAAATCTGGACGTTTCGGATAAAAACTGAATTCGGAGTCGTAAACTACATGTGTAGGACTATGTTATTTTATACAATTGAAAACCCATTTACTATGTACAATTTTGAAGTGACGTCATCGCATTAGTGGTGGGGATGATTAGACAAATTTTGGTTAGCGTTTTACCATCTACATGATATTCCTAATATAAGTACAAAATTTCACAACAATCGGTCCAGTACTTTCGGAGATTAGGTTTTGCATTAAAAAACAATACATTTGACGCTCCGTAGAACGTTTTACATTTTGACAAAACACAGTTGGGACCCCGAGAATGTTTCACATTGAAATAAAATGCATTTGGGCCCCCCCGAGAAGGTTTTACATTTTTAAAAAACACTGTTGGGACCCCCAAGAAGGTTTTACATTTTTAAAATGACTGTGAGGTCCTCCGAGAAGTTTTCTCATTAAAAGAAAGACATTTGACGCCCCGGAGAAGGTTTACATTTTAAAAAAATACATTTTGGACCCCCGTGAAGATATTACATTTTAAAAAATTTTGTCGAAGATCATTTCGACAGAACTTCTCTTGCCCATAAAGTACAGCTTGTCAATTCCAGCAAAAATTAAAAGATTTGATTTTGCTAATTTTATTATTTTTTATGGCAACCATTGTAAGCTAAAATAAAGATTATATGTATCTAGTTAATGTTTGAGTAAACGTAAGAAGCGTGCTAATCCTTTATTACAAGTCAGTTTTTCTATTACAAAAAAATTTTGTGTTGATATCATCCACATTTTTGCAAGGACGCATATATCAGTTTGGATAGATGCTTAGTTGTAATACTAATAGTAGAAGTATTGTATTACTGTTATTCTTGAATAGTGATTTATAATCAATAAAATAACGAAACGTAATAACGGGAGAGGTGCGCTTGAAGACTGAACTGAAAACCAGTTACGGTACTCGTAATTAAAGACAAATAGCGATAATGCTGATCAGCCTGTAGACGGGAGAGTGAAAGAGAAACTGAACTATAAGATATTTCCTACGAACTGCAATAACTGGATCACAATGCTGACAGTCCAGACTGCAGAACTATTTTTCATACTCTAAGGGCAAGGAAACGTCAAGAAAATGCGAAATAAATGAATGATTAGATCAGTGAGTATAGATGTTAAAATGCATAGTCACTGATTACATTGAAAATCTGTATTGAGTAATACTTGTCGACTTCACTTTACAGTTGTACACACTCATTTTTGTTAAATGAACATGATTGTCGATTATCATACAATACAAAAGGGTCAAAAGTTAAAGCAGCCGCATTTATTACTGAAAAGCAACCTCATCATTACAAGCGAAGTATCGCACTTGATTACTTAGACTTAGTGTGAAATTTTCCAATTTCCTAGAGAAAAAATTGTCACAACGTGGAAAACACGTTGACCCGAATTATAGTTCCACAGATCATTAATTTCTTTATTTTTGTCACAAACTTCTCGATCATTAAATTTTCGTTAGTGAATTCGTTTGAACTGAAACAAAGCAAATGCATATGTAGATGGTTATTATTAATTCAGCATTGTGTACGAAAGCGTAACGCACAATAGAGTGCTTGTTCATTTCTGGACAGAGCCAGAAAGCGTTCGGTCATCACACGACAGTGTCATTTTAAGAAAAATGGTGCCCGATTCGGACGACAAATTATCGCAGAGAAGAGAAGTGAACTGGCTGTGCATTCTTTTCAACTTACAAGTATCTGTATCGTTTATTTGTAGTTTACACTTTGTGTTTTACGAAGCCAAGCTCCTGACAACGATTTATAGTAAGTTTAAATTTTACAAAAAATAGGTCATGATTAATTTGTGGTTTAGCGTTGGTTTTGGTCTTGTTGACCTTGATTGGGGTAACTGCTGGGGCGCATCGACTATGGGCACACCACTCCTATGAAGCCACCACTTCTTTAAGAATTTTTCTGATGTTGTGTCAGACCCTTGCAGGACATGTAAGTACCCCCAACTCCGAAAAATAAAAATAAATAGTATTTCTTCAGACTTCGATTTACAACTGGGTGCGTCTGCACAGACTACACCACAAACACTTCCAAACCGACTTGGACCCATTCAACCCTCGCAAGGGCTTCCTCTACTCCCATTTTATTTGCAACAGTTTGAAGCTCAGTCCAGCCCAAGAAAAACTTCTAGACGAAATCGACATGTCAGACCTGGAAAACGATAAAGTCGTCATGTTCCAAAAAAAGTACTATTGGATACTTTTCGCTATTTTCACGCTACTCTTACCCATTAACGCCCCCGTTGAGTACTGGGGCGACACCATCTTGTCTTCCGCGTTTGTTGTAGGGTGGCTGCGCTTCGCTGTGACCTATCACCTGTCACTTTTGATTCACAGTGGCCTAAACGTGTTCGATTTTAATTTCCTAGACAGGTAAATAATTAGAGCGCTCGATTGCGGGTTATCTTGATTTGTATTTTGCAGGAATGCGTTTGATAGCAACCAGTTGTTCTTCGTGAACAGGTCGTATTGGTTGTCTTATCACTATTTGGTACCTTGGGACTACCAAACTAGTGAATACGGCAAATACGGTACTGACTGCACGACCAAGTTTATTCGTGTATGTGTGGCTTTAGATATAGCTAGTGATTTGAAAACTGTAAATGGACACGCGATTCGAGAGGTTTTGAAGTCGTCTGTTGACGAAAAAGAATCGCTTGTGGAAAATATTGATAAATTAAAAAATGTGGGCGAAGACGTGCTGCATAAGAATTATTTGTTAGCGTCGAGGTTGCATTAAACAATACACAATAATAAAATTTCATTTCTGGGAGGTTATATTTATTTATTATAGTCCTGAACAGCAGTAAGATTTTTAGTTTGATGGTTAATCTTGGTGACTGGTCTGGCGGTCTTGGTTTTTATCCCCCAAATCTCAGGACTCCCATCCCCCATTTTCTCCACCCTGTTCCTGATCCTCTCATTCGACATCGTCTTCAAGTCGTACGCCCACCCAATTTTGCCAAAAAACTCTATAAACGTCGTTGTCAAGTTCATTCCGTACTTTCCCAATTCGGACGTCCTGTAGTCCCTTGGGAACGTGTGATGGTAATTGTGCTATCCCTCTCCCAGCGCCAGTACGCTCAAACTCTGCACCTCGCAACCAGGACCGCTTTTATCGTAGGGTTTATAGCCCCACCTATGAGCGAAAGAGTTAATTAAGAAAATGACGTTGAGCGAAAAGCAATATCTGAAGAAGTTCACGAAGCAAGCGTTCTCGAAACTTTCACCCCAAAAGTACACCGGAATTACAGTTGGTACGACGAAGCACACCACAGGCATCACGATCTTGTAGTACTTGTCCTGGTAGTACAAGAGTGGGTCAGCGCGTAAGTCGGACATGTCCAATTGTTGACCTTTTTCTTTGATCATGGGATGCTTGCGGCAGAGGAGCCAGCCGATGTGAGCGAAGAACAAACCCCTTTTGATGTTGTGGGGGTCCGCGTCGGTTTCGCCAAACTTGTGGTGGAGGCGGTGGTCTCGGGCCCATCTGATCACGGACTTTTGGAAAGCGAGGCTGTTGCAGACCACCAGGAAGAGACGGAGGGGCCAGTTGGCTTTGTAGGAGTGGTGGGACCACAGGCGGTGGGCGCCGGCGGTGATGCCGAGGAGTCCCAGGAGGTGCAGGACAACGGCTGGAAGAAAAGGGACTTATTATTGTTGGTATTATTTACTACTAATGTACCTAATAACGTGGAGGCCAATTTGGCAGAAGTAAACATAAGCCATAGTCCATATAATCCACCCGCCTGAAGGAACGAAAACCCGATGATTCCAGTCCAAACCAAGCTCAGTTTGCGGTCACTTGGTTTTTTCGCAGCTTCTAGAATATCGCTTGTAGATATTTCGTCGTCTGGTTCAAGGAAGACGTCAGTTGGAATTAAACCGGTTGCTGACATAGTTCGGCTGATCTTATTAATAAATAAATGATTTTTTTTATAAATCGTTTTTAGATTTTTTAAAAATAAGTATTAGATGCCTGTCATAGATCGATTTATTTACAAATGTACTCTAACATATGGTCGTAAATGTTAATGCCGTTGTTTTCGCAGACTTTTGGTTTGCTAATTTTGTGTACTAAAAATATTGAAGGCGATAACTTATTTCGGTAAACAAACCGAAGTTAAAGCTAAAAAAATAAATGCATGTGTTTATGAAATGCTTGGAAGTTTTTCCATAGATAGTATGGTAATATAAAGAGAAGAGAGAAGGAAAACCTTACAAAACTGATAACATGCTGGATACAAGGGAAGATGGAAGTCGATTTAAGAAAAACTGAGATTAGAAAAGAAGCTAAAGAATAGGAAGAACTGCAAGCGAGCGCAGCGAGCAAACCACCACATTTCTTGTGCCAGTATAACATTTCTCTATTTAACATTCATCGAATGAAGCCATTTTTTGTATAGACAGAGATGTATAACTGGTTGCATAACCAATCCTATAATCAAAATTTTCACTTCAGTTTTAATTATTTCACAGTTGTAGCGTTGTTACTGACTGTTATTTGCATTTTTATGGTAACTACAGTGTTGGTGGAACTTAATAAAACAATCCTTATCAAAATAGTTGGTGATTCATTGAAAACTATGCATTGTTACTTGATGAGTTTTTCTTGATAGAAGCAAAATTTTCATTTAGTTTCTGCAAAAACGAGACGAAATAATTTGATCGTATATTTTTTTAGTTCATGGTCTTTCTGTTTTAAAAAATGCAATAGTGTCAGCGGTGCAACACAACATTAATGCATTTTGAAATCAGGTTAAATTACTATTTACAACTGATATGCACGCAATTGTACAAATCGTGAATGAATGGCTTGGTTTTTGATAAATTGACCAAGTAAGCTAATTGTGGTATGCTTTTCTGTAGTCCTTGACCAAAATAGAAAAAACTTTAATCTGTTTGTTGAGAGCTGAATCTTAGTTTTGTGTACCAATTTTGGAACCTCATGTTCATGTTGTCTAAGACAAAATAAAAAACTTAAGTCTAAGCAAACGAATTAAGTAAAAACTATAACTTATATCTATGTTAATAGATTCATACATGTATATCACTTGATTGTGTATCTAGTTATTGGTACTAAAAACACACGTGCCACTTAGTACGAATAAACAGAACTTACTTTACATATTATCAAATATGACCTAGCTACAAATATACAAAAAACAACTTAGTCACCTTTTCATTTATTGTGAAGTGTTGTTTTATAATTTTGATTTTTTTTCAAGAATTTGGACGTTTCGGGTAAAAACTCAACACGGCCTCATAAACTACATCTATAGCACTATGTTATTTTGTACAATTTAAAACCCTTTAACGATGTACAATTTTGACGTGACGTCGTTACATTATTGGTGGGGATGATTAGACAAATTTTGGTTAGCGTTTACAGACGGACCTTTCTTGGAGTTCAAACCTTGAAGGAGATTGCAAACTTTTGATAATCTCTGTGTTAAAGAATATTTATTGAAGACTATTAATTCATTAACCTTATACATAGTTTCGGGGGGCCCTAGTTTCTTTTTTTAAGGAATTCTACAGAATTGCGGTGACTCATGGTGTATTTTTAAGAATTCAACAAAATTTCGGCTGCCCTTTTTGTTTTTTTTTTTTTTTTAATAATTCTGCAGAATCTCAAAGGCCCCTAGTGTGTTTTTATAAGAATTCTACAGATTTTCGGAGGCACTTGGTGTCATTAAAAATTTACAGATTTGAGAGGGGAGGGGCTAGTGTCTTTTTTAAGAATTTTACAGAATTTCGAAGAATGCAGTGAATTTTTAGGGATTCTACAGAATTTCTAGGGCCCCTAGTATCTTTCTAAGAATTCTACAAAACTCTCGAGGTTCTCTAGTATATTTCTTAACGAATTGTACAGAATTTCGAAGATTTAGTGTCTTTTTTAAGAATTATACAGAATTTTGGGGGACCATAGTTTCTTTTTTTAAAGAATTATACAGAATTTCGGTAGCCCATGGTGCTTTTTTAAGAATACCACAAAATTTCGGCGGTCCTTTTTGTTTTTTTTTTTAAATTCTGCAGAATCTCAAAGGCCCCTAGTGTGTTTTTATAAGAATTCTACAGATTTTCGGAGGCAGTTGGTGTCATTAAAAATTTACAGATTTGAGAGGGGAGGGGCTAGTGTCTTTTTTAAGAATTTTACAGAATTTCGAAGAATGCAGTGAATTTTTAGGGATTCTACAGAATTTCTAGGGCCCCTAGTATCTTTTTAAGAATTCTACAAAACTCTCGAGGTTCTCTAGTATATTTCTTAACGAATTGTACAGAATTTCGAAGATTTAGTGTCTTTTTTAAGAATTATACAGAATTTTGGGGGACCATAGTTTCTTTTTTTAAAGAATTATACAGAATTTCGGTAGCCCATGGTGCTTTTTTAAGAATACCACAAAATTTCGGCGGTCCTTATTGTTTTTTTTTTAATAATTCTGCAGAATCTCTAAGGTCTCTATGTCTTTTTTTAAGAATTCTACAGATTTTCGGAGGCACCTAATAACTTTAAAAATTCACAGATTTGAGAGGAGAGGAGCTACTGTCTTTTCTTAAGAATTTTATAGAATTTCGAGGGCCTTTGGTGACTTTTTTCTTTTCAGTGGTCCCTAGCATCTTTTTTAAAGAATTCTACAGAATTTCTAGGGACCCTAGTATCTTTCTAAGAATTCTGCAAACTCTCGAGGATCTCTAGTATATTTCTTAACGAATTCTACAGAATTTCGAAGATTCCAATGAATTTTTAGGGATTCTATAAAATTTTGAGGACCGTTAGTGACTTTTTTAATTTCACTGTCCCATAGTGTCTGTTTCAAACAATTCTACAGAATTTTCAGCGCCCCTAGTCTCTTTTTTAAGAATTATACAGAATATAGGAGGGCCCTAGTTTCTGTTTTAAAGAATTCTACAGAATTTCGAAGACCCTTGGTGACTTTTTTAATTTCAGAAGCCCCTAATAACTTTTAAAGAATTCTACAAAATTTGCAGGGCCCCTAGTATCTTTCTAAGAATTCTACAGAATTTACAAGGCACCTAGTATATCTTTCTAAGAATTGTGCAAAATATAGAGGGCTAGTGTCTTTTGTAACGAATTCTACAGAATTTCGAAGAATCCAGTGAATTTTTCGGAATTCTACAAAATTTCTAGGACCCTTAGTGACTTTTTTAATTTCACTGGTCCCTAGTGTCTGTTTTAAAGAATTATACAGATTTTCAAGGGTCCCAAGTGCCCTTTTTAAGAATTATACAGGATACCGGAGGGCCGAGTTTCTTTGTTTAAAGAATTCTACCGAATTTCGAAAGCACTTAGCGTCTTTAAAAATTTAAAGATTTGAGAAGGAAGCGGTTAGTGGCTTTTTTAAGAATTTTACAAAATTTCGAAGAGCCTTGGTGACTTTTTTTATTTCAGAGGCCTCTAATATCTTTTTAAAGAATTCTACAAAATTTGCAGGGCCTGTCTAGTATCTTTCTGAGAATTCTACAAAATCTCGAGGACCCCTTGTGTCTTTTTTAACGAATTCTAATTCTAATTTTTTGGAATTCTACAAAATTTCGAGGACCCTTAGTGACTTTTTTAATTTCACTGGTCCCTAGTGTCTGTTTTAAAGAATCCTACAGATTTTCAAGGGCCCCAAGTGTCTTTTTTTAAGAATTATACAGAATATCGGAGAGCCCTAGTTTCATTTTTTTTAAGAATTCTACAGAATTTTGGAAACACTTAGCGTTTTTAAAAATTTACAGATTTGAGAAGGAAGGGGTTAGTGGCTTTTTCTAAGAATTCTACAGAATTTCGAAGATCCTTGGTGACTTTTTTTATTTCGAAGGCCCCTAATATCTTTTTAAAGAATTCTGCAAAATTTACAAGGCCCCTAGTATCTTTTTAAGGATTCCACAAAATCTCGAGGACCCCTTGTGTCTTTTTTAACGAATTCTATTCTATGGAATTTAGAAGAATCTTGTGAATTTTTACGGATTCTGCAGAATTTCGAGGACCCTAGGAGACTTTTTTTTATTTCAGCTGCCCTAGTATTTTTTTTAAGAATTCTACAGAATTTCCAGGGCTTTTAGTATCTTTCTAAGAATTCTGCAAAATCTCGAGGGCCCCCAGTGTCCTTTTTTAACGAATTCTACAGAATTTCGAAAAATCTATTGAATATTTAGGGGTTTTACAGAATTTCGGGGGTCTTGGTGACTTTTTTTATTACAGTGGCGCCCAGTATCTTTCTAAGAATTCTACAAAATCTCGAGGGCGCCCAGGATTTTTTTTAACGAATTCAGCAGAATTCTGAAGAATCCAGTGAATTTTTAGAGATCCTACAAAATTTCTAGGACCCTTAGTGACTTTTTTAATTTCACTGGTGTCTGTTTTAAAGAATTCTACAGATTTTCAAGGGCCCCAAGTGTCCCTTTTAAGGATAATACAGAGTACCGGAGGGTCCTAGTTTCTTTTTTTAAAGAATTCTACAGAATTTCGGAAGCACTTAGCGTCTTAAAAAATTTACAGATTTGAGAAGGAAGGGGTTAGGGGCTTTTTTTAAGAATTCTACAGAATTTCGAAGAATCCAGTAAATTTTAAGAGATTCTACAGAATTTCGAGGGGCTTTGGTGACTTTTTTCATTTTAGTGGCCCCTAGTATCTTTTTAAAGAATTATACAGCATTTCGGTGGCCCATGGTGTTTTTTTAAAAATTCTATAAAATTTCGGCGACGCTTTTTGTCTTCTTTAAAAATTGATTTTCTAAGAATTCTGCAAACTCTCGAGGATCCCTAGTGTATTTTTTAATTCTACAGAATTTCGGTGGACCATGCTGCTTTTTTAGAATTGTGAATGTGTGTGTGTGTGTGTAGAATTCTGCAAAATATAGAGGGCCCCTAGTGTTTTTTTTAACAAATT